AATGTAAAGCACCAAGTCTATCCTAACGTCCAACGTTATTGGTCACTTGTGGTCAGCTCCCACCTCGGACACAGGACTTAGGACTCAGAGCCTTCCCAGTGGGCTTTGGCCCCATGCTTTCCCTCCAGTGTCGGCCACTTAGTCCCCCAAGGAGCGAGTTCTACTTCCGAGCCCAAGCCCGAGGGGGAAGTTCCTCCTGCATTTCACACTGCCCCCTCCTGCAGAGATGTTGGCCTATTGCCCCTCTGTCTCTCCGATGCCACACTCCACCAACCAGGACTCATTTTTTGTTTATCATCCCAGACGTGGAGCTTTCACCTTGGCCTTCTCCACCCAGTGGGTTATAGAGGTCCCGACTGGATGCTGTGCAGGACAGAGATGGTCCTATGAGAGTTTCTGGCTCTTTGGAGGTAAGACTCATACATGGAGCTGGTCATTAAAGGGAGGAGAGCTTCAGCACCTTGTAAATCAGTCTTTCTCAAACTTGCTTGGTCGTAAGAATTACCTTCTAAAGATACAACCTCCAAGGTTCTACTCATGAAGATTTTAATTCAGAAAATCTGAGGTAGACCCAAACATTTTCCTGGGCATCCAGAAGATCCTTATCATGAAGAAAGTTTGGAAAACACTAGGAAATGACTATATGGCAGTAGAAGTGACTACTGACTAAACCTCCATAAGCTACTCAAGGTATTAAGAAATTTACGTATATTAACTCATTTAATTACCTGAACAAACTTTTTCCAACAGGTGCTAACTTTCTGTTCTACTAATGAGAACACCCAGATCCCAGTACAACGACTGCTCAAAATCGTCCATTTTGGCAGGAAGTAGCACATTGAGGAGTCAATACTTCATCTTTTTGGTTCCTCACCCATATCAATTAAAATACCCTGTTTCTAAAGGCTAATTGCTGGTGGAGATCAATGGACTCTGAGCTTTTTCCTGATTGAGCACTCTATCAACAATGAAATTGCAAGCATAGACTTTCAGTGTATGCATATAAATTTTTAATCTATCTAACCATACTATTATTCTAATATAGTATTGATATTATAAAATATACATACAATGTCAATTTAAAAGGTTGAAATCAAGATGAAGTCAAGAATTTTTAGTCATTTTTATTTTATTTAGCGACTCTTAAGAACTTCTTTTGCTTTTCACGAAAATATGTTGATGTAATAAAAATTCTTTTAGTGAGACCAATATGATTTTGAATAGGCTTTTTCTAAGTTTTTTCAATCTTGGATTAATCTGTATGACATAGTGATTAATGGTTTGGCCCTACATTCAGTTTGTTCTGACACTTGCTTTTAATGCCTGTCACTGCTGGAAGAGACATGTAAATTCAAATGAAAGAAGTACAGCATTGTTGCCTTACTCAGTCATAATACTCATTTTTCAATTCCATCTACCAGTAATGCAAAGATTTTTGGTAAAATTTAGCTAGTGCATCTCCAAACTCCCTGATAACAATCCATTCTCCCCATAATTTATTGGAATTAAAGTGAAAAATACTAGTTGAACATTCAATAACATTACCTTTGGAAACTTAAAACAGGCTAGAGTATTCTGTTTCAGTCTTTCCGGGAACACAGATCTCAGTTATATACAGAATTTTTAACAATACTACCACCGGAAATGTTTCACATTGTCAGTGCTTACACACTGTCTTCATGGGAAAAGTATCCTTTTTTCCTTTGTATTTAAGAGTATGCACACAGGAAAGCATACACATCACAAGTGTACAGATGATGTATTTGTATTTAACTGAACACACCCAGTTAAAGACACAGAACAAGAAACAGAACATTATCTGCAGTCACATCATCAAAAGCTCCTTTGTGCCCTTTCCAGTTATTTCCACTGCAAAGGTAACCACTATCCCAGCTTTCAGATTCATTTCGCCTGTTTGCTTGTTTTCCAAACTTGATGTGAGTGAAATCATACAAGAGGCTCCTTTTTGTGCACCTGGCTCGTTTTGCTCAAAACCTTGTGAGATTCATCCGTATCACTGAAGTTGTCATGGATCACTTACTCTCATTAGGTAGAGGATTGTCTCCTGCAAAGGCACAGTAAGTTGATCCAGTTTGCTTTTGACGGGATAAATTCCAGCGTTCATAGATTAGAAACAGTGTTGCTACGTGTATTGCAAAGCAAGTCTTTCGGAGAGCATGTTTGCTTTTCTGTCTGGTAGAACCCTAGAGTGAAATTGCTAGGTCACTGGGTTTGCTTATCTTCTGCTTTTTCCATAGTGCCACTTGTCTGACGGGTTCCGTGAATTTGTATTCGGGCCAAGGCGGGAGGTCCGAGGGCTCCACATTCTCGCCTCCCCTTGGTATTGTCTGTCTTTCTTCATTTGGGCCATTTTGGTCCGCAGAGGATGGTATCTCAACGCAGCTTTCCAGTTTCTTGGAAAGGCAGTTACTGTCTCATTATTAAGTGGTGACATTTACCCTGTGGGGACAACTTAAGTGCACTGCTTGTGGTTCTTTTTTTTTTTTTTTTTTTTTTCAAACGTACCTGCTAGAGTTCACTCCCGACAGCCACCTGTCAGCCTGGAAAAGATCAAATAATTTGAACCCTTGAATTTGTTCACTCATTGTTTTGAATACTTGGCCAGAAGAAAATAAGGGAATCCCTTCTTGAATAAAGTATTTCCAGGAGCACTTCCTATCTCCTTACAAAGTGTTATAAAGATTCTGCCGTATTTTAAACTTCTTGCCTCTCTATCATGGTCCACAGCAATGGGAGCCTATTGTGCTCTATGTTTTTTGTGGCTCAAACTTCCCGGCTTACGCAGCTTGCTGTGGACAATGCAGTAAACAAATTTCACATAAGGTTCTAGCTCAGGAAATTGTTTTTTCACTCTAATCGACATAAATACCCAAAGTATTGCTTTTTTTAAGAAATTCATTTACTGTTGAGAATGTAATTTTTTCTGGCACATCTCTCCTTAAGAGCTCACAAGAAAGGGCCCTCCAATGTGTTTGAGGACTGAAATGAACAATCTAGAAACAGCATAGCTGAAATGTGCTGGAAATTTTGTACTTTCCAGCAATTGCATACCAGATCTCACACTGAATTATTTATTTGATGTTCCTTCAGCTCTTCAGCAACAATGTCTATGCATCTTGAAACAATTTTTAGTGACCACGGAGTCCATTTTAATGTGTCACTAAGTGGTTTTCTGGTATTTCTTCAGCTCTTTTTACCACAGCAAGAGGAGCAAGCATTTGATCAATGGATTATGGCCTCTCACTTTTGCTCTTAAGTAATAAATTCAAAATTATGAAATTTAACCAAAATCTGTACTGGGCTGGATTGAGTATGTCATGCCTTTAACCAGTTGGGAAAAAAAATTCTTAATGTTTCGCTAATTGCAATGGCTTCATAGCCTCATCAGTTATGTCAGGATGCAATGCTTCATCCTGAACCATAGTGGATAAAAGACCATATTTCAAATAGTCTTCTTAACAATTTTTTAAGTCTTTTAACCCATGCTGTGACTGGTAATTAGACCGCCATTATTTTTATCCAGTCATTCGCTGAAAAGCAGCAAGCACTAGGAGTTACAGAAGCATCCAGCCAGCCATTCTCCTATGGCTCCCTTGGGTTTGCCTCATTAATATTATCTTCAGTTTGCAGTTCATTCACGGAACCACTTAAATCACTTGTCCATTTTGTGAGGATTAGTTAAGTTGAAATGAGATATCATGAGCTATAAATTCATTTAAGCAGCTAAATGCTTCTAGGAGGCATACACATTTCCATCTCGGGAAGATTCTCCTCTCACTGAAGGGTTCCTTTGAATAAAGAGTGCTTCTCTGCACTTCACCATGACAGTTTCCAATGTCAGAGCTCTAAGACCCTCTAGAACGCATTTTGCCAGGCTTTTCGTCTGACAGATGAGGAGTTGGAGGCACCCAGAGAAAGAGTAGAAACCAGGGAGATTGCTGGTTTGATATGCAGGCCCCGGTGATAAGGAACACAGGTTCAAATCCCAGGCTCTGCCACTTCCTCTCTGCGTAGGCTGGAGCAAATTGTTTTACCTCTGTTTCCTCAGCTGGATACCTAAACAGGGTGAAGGTTACTGTATGTAAATTATATCTCCATAAACCTGTCTTTAAAAGGAAGAAAGGGAGGGAGGAGGCCTGAAATTAAACAGAGATTCTCAGATGAGCCCAGAGGCTTCCAGAGAGTAGCATTTTATCTTAATTATCTCTGTCGTCTGGTATACTTTGCACACTGCCAGGTATACACTAGATGCTTAAAAGTTACTACCGATGGCAGTGGATTCAATGGTGGCCCCAAAAGATACGTCCACATCCACATCCCTAGAACCCGTGACTATGATCTTATTGAGGAAAGAGTCTTTGCACATGTAAGTTGAGGATCTTGAGTTGAGAACATCCTGAATTATCCAGGTGGATCCTAAATCCAATGACAAGTGTCCTTGGAAGAGACAAAGAAGATATAGAACACAGAGGAGGAAGCCACATGAAAAGAGAGATTGAGGTTGAGGCAGCCACAAGGCAAGGAATGCCAAGGATTGTCAGAGCCACCAGAAGTTCAGGAAGGGGCAAGGAACGATTCTCCTGTACGGCCTTTGGAGTGGGTGTGACCTTGCCAACACTTTGATTTTGAACTTCTGGTCTCCAGAACCGTAAGACAATGCATCTCAGTAGTTTTAAGCCATAAATGTGTGGTACTTTTTTTACCTAGGAAACTAATATACTGGCCCTCTTGGCTTCACATAATCATGCAGTTTGTTATTATCTAATCCAGTGATTTCCGAACTTAAGCTCAGCAGAGCCCTCCATGGCCACCATGATATATTAATAAATATGGTACCTATTCGGTATTTGGAGGTAGTTCAACATTTCTTGTAACCAACTTATTCTGCAACTTAAAAAAAAAGAAGCTAAATGTAAAAATTTGAACAAACAACCCTAAATCTTGTCCAGCACAACATGGTAACACTGAAGATCAGAGAAGTTACATGACTTGTCCAAGTTCTCTCGGAAGCAAGAGGTACCACAGTCAGTACCTCCACCATCTTCTTTCCGATGCAGGGTTCTTCCTGGACACAAAGAGCCACAGTAAACCATTGTCCTTGGGAAAGAAAGAAGAACATATTAGCAGCACTCTCATTAGAGTCAAAGACAATACAATATGCCCTTGGTGATCAGCACTGCTGTTCACCATCCTACTCGAGGGTCCAAACATCGTGACAGGTAGAGATAAAGGAAGAAAATGGAAGAAGAGAAAGAAGAATTCAGGTAATGGGGGGGGGGAGGTGCTCCTGACTGGCTGCAAGAGATTTAAGGAAACCATGTGTACACTGGTAAAGGTAGAATATTCTTCCTTCATATCTGAGCAGTTAGTACAGTCTGTGTCATCTTGGAGTCAGACAAAAGCGAATCCCATTGCCACCTGTCACTTATGTCTAGGTGACCTTGAGCAAAATTAACCTCTCTGAGTCTCAGTGTCCTGAGTAAATGGGAATAATCCCTACCTTGCTGGGTGGTCGTAGGACTTAAATGAGATGACAGAGCCTAGGGATCTGACCCAGACTCTGGAGCGATGCTAGTAGACCCTCGTCTCTATGATACTAGCTGCTGACCTTGGGCAAGTACCTCTCTGGGCCTGAATTTCCTTACCTGCAAAGCAGTGATGTTACCTGCCTCCAAGGGTCAGTATGAAGGTTAGAATAAGCTAATAGTTCTAAAGTACTTAAACAGTACCTGGCAGAAGAGTGCTGTATGAGCATCTGTGAAATTAAAAATCAGTATGAAAATGTACCTAAGGAAGAAGTGACTGGGGGGGGGGGGCAGGGGGGCGGCGGCTGTAGAGGAAGTGGGAAGCCCAGTGTGTGTTCTGGCCCAGAGATGACATAAAAGGATTCCCTGGCTCTCTTTCAAGCTGGTATGTTCACAGGGGACCGAGCACAGCACCCGTGTCCAGTGTGGGGGCCGACCGTGCACAGGGGTGGCTGCTATCAAGCCTGGGGTGGGCAAAGCGTGGGCGTGCTCCGCCCGAGGGAATGGTCCTCTTCCTGCTTCCCACCTTGGCGCCCCCAGGAGTGGGCTTCTTTGGATGCTGGGCACACACTTTTCTCTCCCAGGCTGCGGGAGGGCCCAGGCCAGCGGGACCGAAAAGGACACACGCCCTGGGAAGACCCAGCAGGCAGCTTGGAGGGGAGAACAGAGGGGCTCCAGAATCACACGAGGCCGCCTAGCCTAGCGAAACGCCCCTGGGCCGGCCACACACACACACACACACACACACACACACACACACACACCCTCTTTTGGGTGCTCAGATCAGCGTTCAAAGGGGAAGATTCAGCTTCTAAAGGAGGGGCTGTGAGGGCTTGACCACAGGCTCATCTCTGCAGGTCTCTGTTTCCCTTTCAAGGGGTGAGTCACGCTGCTGGAAAATGACAAACTCGGGTAAAAAAGATAATAGGGATGACACGCGTGACTCAGCTGATGTGGACGCCCACCCAGCAGGGCGCAGAGGCCCCACGTGGGCAGGGGGCTGCTTTGGGAAAAGGTGGATGGTTGTGAATAGGGAATCCACTCAAGATCTGTTTTTTTCTCATCTTGGTTGCGGACAGCGCTCCACGAGGTGTTTTATTCCCCATTCCCCCACTGGGAGCCCCGGGTCTGGGTGGCATTGGCGTTGCTCACAGGGGAGGGAACCAAGGGCCAGGGAGGAAGGGGCGTGTGCAAACCTTCCTTTGACAGTCGTGGAAAACAGCAGCTCCCTCCCAGGTCCCAAGGACCAGCCCCGCCCCAGAGGACTGCTCTACGCCTCACTTTCTCTCCCAAATCCTCCACCAAAGTGACTTTGGACACTGACGTATGTGTGTGTGAAATAACAGGATGTCCGGGATTTATTTTTTTTTCTTTTTTTTTTTCTTTTTATTTATTTCTAGGAGAGAGAGAGAGAAAGACAGCGTCAGAGAGAGAGGGGTCACAGACTGAAACAGGCTCCAGGCTCTGAGCTGGCAGGCAGCACAGAGCCCGACGCGGGGCTCGAACCCACGAACCGCGAGATCATGACCTAAGCGAAAGTCTGACGCTTAACTGACTAAGCCACCCAGGCGCCCCTCCGGGATTTATTTTAAAAAGTCTGTTCCCCGCTCTGAAATCATTGGCAGATGGTAGGTGGAATGAGACGGGCCAAACCCCGGGGGGAAGCGCGTAGGGGGTCCACCAAATTGTTCTCTCTCCCTTTGTGTCTGTCCTGCACTTTCCATAATGAAAACACCTTTGTTGTCATCTAGGAGCTTTGGTCCAGCCACTGTCCCTAGCCTTTAACCTGCTAGAGCAACCAGAGCCTGCTGGGAACGTTTGGACACCTCACTTCCCTTCCTGGGCCTCAGTTTCCCCAGAATCCTAGCCATCCTCTGATAAAGGAGAGGGTTGGCTCTGGTGCTCTCTGAGACTTTTCCAGCCCTGCTTCCCTGAGGCATCCCAACCTCTCGACGCCCCCAACCCCCGTGCCTGGTTTTGAATCCTGGGCCGACCACACACTTATTACATGACTTTGGGCAACTCATGCAACATCTCTAGACATCCACCTGCTGGTCTGAGAGGTGGCGATCATACTATCCACGTCATGGAGTTATTATAGGGAGTCATGGAGTTTATATTCATAAAACACTTAAGACGGTGGTGTTGCAGAAATCATGTTGAATAAAGAGAAGGGAAGATTGCAGAAGCTGGCTGCTCTTCTATGTCAGACTGGCAACTTTGTTCCCAGAGTGCCAGATAGTAAATGTTTTCGGCTTCACTGGTCACAGGGCTCTGTGACATCCAGGTTGAGGCAGCTTGAAGCTGATACCCACCTCCCTTGCCCTCTGTCCTCCTGGCCGCTGTCACCCACCGAGGCTCTATGTCCCAGACGGTGTTACCTCAAAACTGAAGTGAACTCACCCTCCGCATTGCACTTGAGCCGAGTGTGACATAAACTATTGTATTCGTTACGCCGCTGCAATGTCTGTGGCTTATTTAGGGACAGCGGCAGCGTAGCCCCGCCTGGCCTGACATGCAGGCAGCCCTGGAGGCTGTGGAGAAGGCAGCCGCCGCTCTCTCCTGGGTCCGCTGCGAGTTATGCAAACTGCCCTTGCTTTGTTTCTTTTCGTTGTCAGACGTGGATTCAAGCCCCTCTCCATGCTGGCTGCCATCTTCCCAACACCTTCTGATCTGCGCACCGCCTTCTCTAAGCCGCTACCCAGGATTGACCTTGACTCCCACACGGACCCGACTTTCCGCAGGACAGGACCACCTACAGGAATGTGTCCTGGGGTCACGTCAGGTGTGTGTGTGCGGGGGGAGGGAGGTCAGGTCAGACTGTCAATGCACATGGCGTTTCCTGTGACTCAAAACCCTTGCGCGCACATTTCAGTGCTTCAGCTGGGCCCGTCTTCTTGTACAGTTTTTGTATAATTGGCTTTAATGGGCACCAGGAGACATGTCACGTCTCCTCCCCAGGCTGCAATGCCCCTTGATGGTCACCCAGCTGAAGAGAACAGAACAATCTGAGAGGAATGGTCAGAAAGCACTGCTCATATCCACAGTTCTGTGACTTGCATATCACAGTCCCAGGTTCCCGGAGGGATCCTGAGAAATGACAGTTCAGAGGGAGCTGTGGTTTATGGGGACAGTTCTTTCAAGCTGGAAATCAGGATACAGAAAAAAAAAAATGCTTGGGTGCTTCTGTGCGGGGCAGGCTGGAGGATTTATTTGACATTGGGAGAATTTGGGGAATGTTACTGGTCCCGTGAACCAAAAGGAAAGCACTTTTGGCTCCTCTGTTCCCAAGGCAATCGGGGGGGGGGGGGGGGGGGGGGGGCAGTTATAACAGATCCTATCTTCTAGGGCCTTGGAGAAGGAAGAGCTCTTAACTGCTATCACAGGGGCTATGGGTTCTACCTGGCCCACTGGACGCTCTCCAAATAAGAAGCAAAGAAGGACTTGGAGGCCAAGCAGGCCTGCGTTCAAATCCTGGTTCTACCTTTCACTGCCAGGTGAGCCTCAGCATGTCCCTAAACTTCATTTGAATTCGGCTGGGATGGTGGACCTACTTTGAAGAGTGGGTGTGAGGATTATGTGGTGAAGGTCTGCAGACCCCAGGCTCTCAGAAGGTTTTGGAGCTAGAAGTACCACAGCTCACCCCTTCTCCTGCTGGATGCCAAGTACTTCTTTCACAAGGTACGAGGTACTCCTGCTATATACTAGGTACTTCTCCCACAAGGTACTAGGTATTTCTCCATCTAGGTTCTTACTCCTACTAGATAATAGATAGAAGGAACTATAGAGATTTTTTAAAAATACACTTTATTTGAATATTTTAAGCCTTTAGATCTGGAGACTGTCTTAGAGCAGAGGTTCATACTGTGTATTAGATGCTGGGTGGGCAATCATATCCATATTTGGGTATGGGAAGCTTTTTACAAAAACCCAATGCCTGGGCCCACCTCCAGGGGACTCTGATCCAAGTGGTCAGGGTGACTATAATCTACTGCTGGACTTGAACACCACAGTCCAGCACCTCCCTCCCACCAGAGGGACCCCACCCACACAGCAGTCACAGGTCAGGGTGCTAACGTTGATGGGGGTCCCTGCAAGCACCCAGACTTAGAAGTTCCGGCCTTGAAAGCCAAGCACCTGTCATGTGACTTTCCACCCTTCTCTTGAGAAAAAGGTTTGACAAACTCTAGGAGAACCCAGTACCTCAAGCCTGGGGCTCCTCCTTTCCCAAGAGATAATTTGTGGATGTTACAATAAAGAGAAGGGAAAGAAAGATGAGGTGTTCTTCAAAGTCTCTATATATTGCTGTAAATCATGAGATTTTTTTTTCCATGTCTGTGACTCTGTAATAAACCCATTAGAGATTAGAGGAAACGAGGCTCCCAGGGCCCCAAATGTGAAAGAAGAAATAGCAATTAAATGTCATTGTTGTCCAAGAATAAATGTCTCGAGTTTAAAAGAGGAAAGGAGGTCACCTCGCCTCTAGGAAAGCAGTGACCAAATTATGTCTTAGGACCTTGACCATGAAGAAGCTTCCTCGTGAGGGTGGGCGGGAGAGGGAGAGGGGAGAGG